GGCACCTGGGAACCCTGGGCTTGCCAACACCCTGGTTTCTCCAGCCCGGTTCTCTGCAGTTATTTCGGTTGGGGCCGCCAATGGGAACGCAGGCGTGGGGCAGTGGCTGGTGCGAGTTGCTGTGGCTCACCTGGGGTCCCTGGACTGCCCGGGCCGCCCCCTCCCCCATTCTCCCCCCAGCAGCTCCTCACAGTCCAGCTGGAATGGTGGTGGGGGCTTCATCTTCAGGCTGCTTTGTGGCGGCTCCGGATCCTTGTGTTTTTTCTGCAGAGCAAGCTTCGGGAAGAGAAGTTTGCTAGTTGGCCTGCAAGTTACAAAGGGATTCTGAGCAGCCAGAGGGCTTTGGGAGGCCCCGCCGGGTGCTGGCTGCCAGGGAGCAGGGGCTGGCCGAGTCAGCCAAGGGGGGAGCTACCTGTGGTTGGGCACCGCCACAGAGCTCCAGCCTGGCCCGTCCTGTGTGTGATCTCTCTCTCTCCCCCACCCCTTTCTTTCTGAAGATTTATCTTAATAGTTTGAAAGGCAGAGTTACAGAGAGAGAGATCTTCCATCCATTGGTTCACTTCCCAAATGGCCACCACAGTCAGGAATGAGCCAGGCCGGAGCCAGGAGCCAGGAGCTTCTTCTGGGTCTCCCATGTGGGTGCAGGGGCTCAAGCACTTGGGCCATCTTCTGCTGCTTTCCCAGGAGCATGAACAGGAAGTTGGATCAGAAGTGGAGCAGCTGGGACTCGAACCGGCACCCATATGGGATGCTGGTGTCACAGGCAGGGACCTTACCCGGGTCTCACATGTTTCTTTCTCCCAAGCTACGATGTTGGTCAGCATTTGGTGTTGGGTTTTCGACACTTACAACCACGATCAGGTTACACCAAAAGGGAATGATTTTGCTCATGGAATTAGCAAGCATCGCCGGCTCCAGCTACGGCTGGGCCCATGTGGGCTTAGTTTCTCCTTACCTGAGGCCAGCTTGTGCTCCATGTCATCCACATGTCCCAGTGGCTCACCCCTGGAGGTGGCAGTGTGGCCCAGCAGCTCCCGGAAGCCCCGTGGTAAAGAGAAAGAGCAGCCACAGAGAGGCCGGGACTCGAACTGGCACCCATATGGGATGCCGACACCGCAGGCAGTGGCTTTACCCGCTACACTGCAGCGCCGGCCCCCTTACCATTAGTTCTTAACCTGCCTCGCCGCAACACCAGCCCCATCCTTTTTGGTTCTTGCTGATTCTTCAACAGTTCCTGCCATCTGGGGAGTTCACTGTTCCGATGGGCCAGGCCTGAGCTTTGTGCCCTGCCCCCTGGAGTGAGGCGGGGCCGTGCCCTCCCAGACCCTGAACCCCACCTTCAGACCAGCCCCATCCTGTAAAAATGGGTGCCGTGGCCCTGACGTCTCTCCAAGCCCCCGTCAGAGGCGGCGTCCCCAAGCTGTGCTCCGTGCTTCCCCCTTCAGGGTGCTTCTGCCCACCTTCCTACCCCAGGAGACTGGTGCAGCTTCTCCCTCCGCCTGCCCCGTCTGGGGGCTTCTGCCCCTGAACACGTCCCAACTTCCCACTCTGGCTTGAGCTCTTGTCTGGCTCCCCACCCTCCACCCTCCGCCCCGGCACGTGGCAGTGGCCACGGCTGATGGACAAGCCCCTCGTTGTCAGAAGGGTCCCTGCCAGGCCCGTGCCGCCTCCCCAAGCCCCGCCCTGGGCTGCCTGCCGTCCTCCGTCTCCAGCCGCCCTCTGGCTGGCCAGCAGGCTCTGGATCCTTCTCTGTCCAAGCCCAGCAAGCTTCACTCGCACCGGGAAGGCTGCTGTGGAGTCTGACATCTGGGGGTTTGTCCATCTGCCCATCTGTCCACTCTGGCCTGGCAGTGCCGCCTGGCCTCGGCTCTGCTGGCAGCTCAGCTGGGACTCCTGGTTTTTCTCTCCCTCTGTCTACTGTCCTACCTCGTGCTTTCTTTAACCGGATGATTTTATTTAAATTCATTTCATTTCATTTTTTTATATTTATTTATTTGAAAGGCACAGTTAGAGAGAGAGCGAGAGCGAGAGCGATCATCCTTTTCTGGTTGACTTCCCAAATGGCTGCAACGGCCGGGGAACTCCATCCGGGTCTCCCACGTGAGTGCAAGAGTCCGAGCACTGTGCCGTCCTCTGCTGCATTAGCAGGGAGCTGCATGGGAAGTGGAGCAGCCGGGACACAAAACTGGAGCTCGTGTGGGATGCCGCCATCACAGGCAGCGGCCAAACCCACTGTGCCACCGCGCCGGCCGCGAGAAGCAGTCTTGTGAGGCCCTGAAGGACACGACCTTGGCGGGAGCCAGGCTTCCTGGGCTCAGACCCCGCCCCTGCCGCTTGCTCCCTGGAATGGTGCTCGGGTCAGTCTGTGCCTCGGTTTCCCCTCCTGTCGGGTAGCTGTAGAACAGGACCTGCCCTCCTGGGGTTACTGCGCAGATTACACGAGCGCGTGTGACGCGGGTAGATTGGAGCTGGCCCGGGGCGAGCTGGGTTCTGGTCGCTGACCGTTTAGATTTTCGTGTCGCTGGCACGCTAGTGGAGGTGCAGTTTCTGTGTTGCCCTCTTTTGTTCTGACACCGGTAACCCCTTTGCCGAGTCCGAGGTAACCTTGGACATCATTGACCCTGCAGTAATGCGCAGGGTTGTGGGTCCCCTTGGCACTGTGGGTTTTGTCCCTCTGGGTTCTGTTGAAGGGACGCGGATCAGTGGCCGCTCTGCTGGGTGAGTGTAAGACCACCATGACAAATAGCTCAGACAGGGTGGCGTAAGACCCCGGGGGTGGTGTGGTGCAGTGGGTAACGCTGCCGCTTGCTTGGTGTACCCACCTCCCACCTGGAAGCGCCGCTTGGTCCTGGCTGCTCCACTTCAGGTCTGCGTCACTGCTTATGTGCTAGGGAGGCGGCAGATGGTGATGGCTCAAGTCCTTGGGTCCCTGCCACCCCCGCGGGAGACTTGGATGCAGTTTTTGGCTCCTGGCTTCAGCTTGGCCCAGCCTTGGCTGTTGGAGGAATTTGGGGAATGAACCAGTGGATGGGAGACTTTTCTGTGTCTGTGTTTTTCCCTTTCTCTCTGTTATTCTGCCTTTCAAATAATAAATCTTTCAAAAGAAAAGCACAGGGGCTGGAGTTTCGGTGTGGTGGTTAGGCCACCTCCTGAGAGGCTGGCTTCCCATGTGAGCACTGGTTGGAGTCCCAGCTGCTCCACTTCCACTCCAGCTCCCTGCTAATGCACCTGGGAACGCAGCAGAAGGTGGCCCACGTGTTTGGGTCCCTGCCACCCACGTCTGGAAGGTGTTCCAGGCTTCTACCTTGGCCTGGCCCAGCCCTGGCCATTGCAGCCATTGGGGAGTGGCCCGATGGATGGAGGACCTCTTCCTCTGTCTCTTCCTCCCTCTATGTCCTCTGCACACACCACCACAACAGAAAGGGGTGGGTGTTTGGTGTAGTCATTGTCACTCCTTGGGACACCAGCATCCTGTATTGGAGCTCCTGGTTTGAATCCTGGCTTCGCAGCTTCCCATCCAGCTCCCTGCTAACAGATACCCCGGGAGCTGGCAGCTGATGGCTCAGGTATTTGGGGAGTGAAACAGCAGTGGAAGATCTGTCTGTCTCTGTCTTTCAAATAAGATGAAAATGAATTTAAAAAAAAAAAAAAAATGGAGGCCGGCGCCGTGTCTTAATAGGCTAATCCTCCGCCTTGCGGCGCCGGCACACCGGGTTCTAGTCCCAGTCGGGGTGCCGGATTCTGTCCCGGTTGCCCTCTTCCAGGCCAGCTCTCTGCTGTGGCCAGGGAGTGCAGTGGAGGATGGCTCAAAGTGCTTTGGGCCCCTGCACCCCCCATGGGGAGAACCAGGGAGAAGCACCCTGGGCTCCCTGGCCTTTTGGATCAGTGTGATGGCGCCTGGCTGGCGCGGGCGGCCATTTTGGAGGCTAATGGCAAAGGAAGACCTTTCTCTCTGTCTCTCTCTCTCACTGTCCACTCTGCCTGTCAAAAAAAAGCCCTGGTCAAAAAAAAAAAAACGGGACATTCTCTCGGAGTCCAGATGTCGGCAGGGCCCTGCCCACTCTGAAGCTCCAGGGACGACTCCATCCTCGTCCCTCCCGGCTTCGGGTGGCCGCTGGCTGTCCTCGGCGATCCTTGGCTAACAGACGCCAGCACTGTAATCTCGCCTCTGTGGCCAGCCCGTGTTCTTCCTGGGGGTGTGTCTGCGTCTTCCCACAGCCTTCTCGTAAGAATACCAGCCGCTGGACTTGGGGCCCAACCCCGTGGCCTCATCTTTAACACGTGTGTCCCCAGGGACCCAAGTGCGGTCGCGTTGTGAGGTTTGAGGTGGATGTGGGTTCTGGGGGCCACCGTTCGCCCCAGTGTAGGGAGCGAGAGGAGCTGCCCAGTCCTTGCCCAGGCCCCTCTGAGAAGGCCCAAGGCCAACCCTGATTCAGACGCATCTACCCCCCCAACCACAGGAGCAGCCACGGCGCCCCTCCCCCTCCCATGCTGGCGAGCCCTTGACTTTGGGCAGGGGTTCTACATGGAGCAGTTTCTAGATTTATATCCTGATGTCGCTTCATTCCACGCGGCCCCTCGCAGGGGAAACCTGATTAGACCAGGTACGAAGCAAGCCCATTCATTCCTTTTGTGCTGGCCTAGACAGATTCACTGATACAGGGAAGCCTGCTCTGAGCTTTGAAGTCTGACTTTGCTACTTGCAAGCAGTGGGCTCAGGGGTCGCTTGCATTTCCCAGGTGTTGGGTTCCTGGAGGCAGAACCCTGCCTTTGCGGGCGGGGGCCCTGTTAGGGAAGGGCCTGGCCCCGGCTGGGCTGCCGTGGGCCTGGTCGCGAGCGTGGGAAGCGTGCGGCGTTCTCGCTGTTTCCAGGCGCGTTACTGGATAGCCTGGGCCAGGAGAAGCGTGGCCTGATTTTGAGAGCAGTGTGAGGAGGCCAGAAGTAACCGAGTCCGCGGTGTGTGTCGGGGCTGTAACGCGAGCTGGCCGAGGCGAGGCGAGGCGAGGTGGGAACCTTTGCTTACTCCGGACCCGGGCAGGGGCCCCTCTGAAGGGGGCCTGAATGCAGCTGGGGTGTTTATGCAGAAGCCTGCGTGTCAGCTCCCCAAAGAGAGGGTGGGAAGAGGAGCCTTCGGCCACGGGGAGGCTGCCTCTGTTGTTTAGAATCCAAAATGGTGATGTCACTACACCCTGACACCGCGCCAGCGTGAGGAGGCGAGGTTGTCGTCTTGCTGGGACTCTTCGTTTCCCTCCCCGGCTTCTCCTTCTGGCCCCTTGGCCGAGGGGTGCTGGGGGGGGGGGTGGAGGGAAGGCGCCCACCCTGGGCGGATCCACTTGAAAGACGGCAGAGGCGGGCGGAAGTCCATGGAAGTTCCGTGCTTTGCTTGCCCCTGGAGAAGACCAGGAGCCCCTTCTGAGGGTGGCTGCAGCCCGCAGTGTCACCTGGGAGGTCAAAGTCCCTCACCCGCCTGGGTTTTGTCCCTTTGAGAGGCGGACAAGGTGACCGGGGCTGGTCTGGATCCTTGGGGAGGCGTGGCTCCCGCTGGTGAGAGGCAGACAAGGTGACCGGGGCTGGTCTGGATCCTTGGGGAGGCGTGGCTCCTGCTGGTGAGAGGCGGACAAGGTGACCGGGGCTGGTCTGGATCCTTGGGGAGGCGTGGCTCCCGCTGGTGAGAGGTGGACAAGGTGACCGGGGCTGGTCTGGATCCCTGGGGAGGCGTGGCTCCCGCTGGTGAGAGGTGGACAAGGTGACCGGGGCTGGTCTGGATCCTTGGGGAGGCGTGGCTCCTGCTGGTGAGAGGCGGACAAGGTGACCGGGGCTGGTCTGGATCCTTGGGGAGGCGTGGCTCCTGCTGGTGAGAGGCGGACAAGGTGACCGGGGCTGGTCTGGATCCTTGGGGAGGGGTGGCTCCCGCTGGCCCTGTCTGGGTCCTGCTTCTCAGGTCGAGGCCATCACCTTTGGCGCTCCCGTGTCACGGGGTGCTGGAGGAGCTGAGAGGGGGCTCCCCAGCGGCTGACAGTTTAGTCCTTGTCGGGAGGTTTTCTCTTCCTCCTCCTTCATTGCTCCCCGCCTCCCCCTCTCTGGGACGTCGGCTCCGCCCCCGTGTTACGGAGCCATCGCGCTTTGGGAGAATTTGAATGACGCGGATTTGAAATCGCGTGATGGAATCGTTGGTCTTCCAGCTGGGAAACAGAAGAGCTGCTGCTGCCTTGTGAGATTCGCTGGAAGCCCCCTGATTTCAAAGCTCTGGTCCAGCGGCCCCAAACTTTACCATCCGAGCCCTGTGGCACCGCCCCCACCCCCTCCCCGGTCCAACTGGCCAATAAGAATACCTCTTCCATTGATTGACATGTGGCTTTGGCATGTGTGGCTGAGCTGGTGCATCTCCAAAGTCGTGCCGGATGACCCAAGCATCCAAGGGTCAGGTCTTGGGAGCTTGGGGAGGCCAGGCTGTCCATGACGGTCACGGAGAAGCCCAGGGCACTCTCGAACACACACCCTTGCACTCGCACACACATGGCCTGCACGTGTGCTCACAAGCGTGCACGTTCCGTCTCACACGTGCCTAGTGCCTGGCTTCCTCCACGTCTGACTCCCCTCCTGGGACAAGCCTCCACGGCCTCCTGCCTCTGTGTCCCTAGCGCTGGTGACCAGCGGACACCGTGGGGCTGAATCTTAGCTGCTCCTTGGAGGGCCTGCGCGTGAGGAGCTGGGTAAGCTGCTGGGGTGTGGAGCAGGCTCCTCTCCTGCAGGAGGAAAGCTGGCCTGTGGTCAGTCACTTGCCAGGGCACAGACCTGAAGCCTCTCGGCACCTTGGTGGTGCCAAGGCCGCATGGACCTTCTGTTGTGTGGCTGGGAGCCCTGCGATCCCATGACCAGCGTTGTCTGTCCGGTTTCTGGAGTCTGCTCCCGTGGTCCAAGGTGGTGAGGGTGGGGACAGGGACGAGGAGCCTCTTTCTCATCTGCTGGCTGGCCATTGGTTCACTGACCCATTTGTTTTTCATTCTCTCAACCTGCCAGGTCCTGGGTTATGCGGGAGGGTGCAGAAGGTTCTCTCTCAGCTTCTGAGCTGGACTGAACCTGATGCTGCGTGTCAGGAAGAGTGCAGCTCCCCTAACCCCCCCTCCCCACATTCAGGACGCTGCAGGGAGCTTAGCAGACCCTGTGAGATGCCAGGGCTGGGTCGAGGCAGAATGACTCCAGGCTGCTGCGCCCAAGGCGGGGCTCCCGGCCACCCTGCACACAGCCAGGCCAGGTTGCAAAGGGACTCGGGCCTCAGCTGGAGACAGCTGTGAAGTCCCTGGGGAGGACCCTTTGGAGACAGGGGTTGGGGATGAGCTGCCTTCCCAGGCCATAGTAGAGAGCTGGAGCTGGATCAGAAATGGGGCAGCCGGGACTCAAACCCCTGCCTAGACGGGATGTCGGCACTGCAGGCAGCAGCTTTACCCAGTACACCACCGTGCTGGCCCAGGCCCCATCTCTTAAATGTTCCACACCATCTCCCAGCATCATTGCCCTGAGGACCAAGCTGCCAGCACGTGACCCCTTGGGAGACACACTGGCAGCACAGCCAGATGCTAGCAGGCGGCCTTGCTGTTACTCGGCCTAGAGGTGGCCCAGGTGTGCTGCAGCTTAGAAACTCCTGTTGAAAAAGAAAATGAAAACTAATTCAGTGGCTCATAGGCCGTGGCGCGGGGGATCTGTGTCCTGGCGCCCGTGGTCAGAGCTGGAGCGTTTGGCTTCTTGCCTTTGAACCCTGGGGAATCCGGGGTGAACTTTCACTTGCACGTCTGCTGGGAGACCTGGTGTCTTATATGGATTTGTGGCTCCTTGCCACAGGAAAAGCTGGGATATGCTGGTTTGGAGGGAAGCAGGAGACGCTGCGTAGGTCACACTCATCCCTTATCAGGTGGTCTGGTTTGAGTCCTGGCTCCGCTTCCAACGCAGCTTCCTATTAACGCGCCTCCTGGGAAGGCAGCAGATGATGGCTCAAGTCCTTGGGTCCCTGCCGACCATTTGGGGGACCTGGTTTGAGTTCCTGGCTTCACTTGGCTCAGCCCCGTCTGATGCAGGCATTTGAAGAGAGAACCAGTGGATGGGAGATCCATCTCTTTCTGTCTCTCTGCCTTGCAAGTTAAAATGAAAATAAACGAAATTTTCAAAAGCTGTTTAAGACTTTGAGAGGGGCCCTTGTTGCAGTCCCGTGCCTGAGGGGTTGTCTCATGCCGGTTTGGTGCCTGGAGGTTGGGACATGTTGGGAGGCCTTTGGCCCAGGTAATGGAAAACTCTGCCCCAAACTCACTCATCAATAAAGAAATATAGCATCTCATGTAACAGGGTGTCCAGAGGACAAGGGTGGCCACAGGGCCAGCTTGGGTGCTGCTGTCATTAACACGTCCCACAGCAGCCTCTGTGTGGTGCTGGCGTCACCCTCGGGTGGCAAGACCCTCGGGTTTCCAGGCCACAGCCAGTGCAGCAAAACCCAGAGGCAGCAGAGAACTCGGTGTGGGTAGATAACAGGGAAACTGCGCCAGACTGTCCCGGTGTCAGTGCCGGCATCCCACGGAGCAGCCCAGCACAAGGGCGCGGGCCCCCAGGCCGGTGCTGCCCCAGGGAAGGCCCACTGACCCTGCTTGTGTTTGCCTGGGCTGGCAGCTGGCCAGGATGGGGCTTCTGTCGCTCAGGAGGGAGGGATGAGCCCCAGTGCTGTTCCTCTTGGGCCTTTTAACCAGAATTTTTTTTTTAAGAAGTGTTGTTTTGGTTTGCTTGTTTCAATGTGTGAGACAGACAGGGATGCATGAGCTACCATGTACTGGCCCGCTCCCCGAATGCCAGAGGCCGGGCACTCCATCCTGGTCTCCCACATGGAGGCAGGAGCTCAGGCCTCCCAGGGTCCACACTGGCAGGAAGCTGGAGTCAGGAGCTGGGGCTGGGAATCAAACCCAGGCACTCCGGTGCCGGAGGCAGGCGTTGTAACCGTTGGGCGGAATGCCCGCCCCGGTCTGGAGCTCCTTGGTGGAGTCGTTACCGTGGCTCTCACGTCCTCCTGTGTTTTGTGTGCCTCGGCCAGCAGCCCTGGGTTGTGGAGCCCAGGCAGCGCGCAGCCCATTACCGGGGGCTGTCGAAGGCCTGGATGTGGCAGTCCTTGTTCCGGGGACTATCACTTCTGTCTCTTTACTCCAGATCCTCCGTGGGTGTGGCTCGCAGGCTGCTGGGAGGGCTGGTGGGGATGTCCCTGTCACTTGTCTCCAGGCCACCTTTCAGTTAAACCCCCGCTCGGGCCTCCGGTGCCCTCCTACCTCCACGGCAGCCCCACACACTGCACCTGCCTCTGGCTCTGACAGCCGATCGCTGATGCTGCCCCATCTCCTCCCAGAGGGATGCAGGGGCAGGGACCTGCTCCCATTTCCTTCCCCTCTTAGCCTAGCAACCTAGCTGGGTTGCTGAACCAAAGGGAAATTTGATTTTGCAGATGAGACCCGGGTCACCATTCCTGGTTCAAGGGCAGGCAGAGCCCTGGGGCAGGGGACCGGATGGGGAGCAGTGGGCTGGGTTGAGCCCAGAGTGGCGGCCCCGTCCCTGGCTGGCAGTGTGGCTGCCTGGCCTCTCCCTCCCAGGCCGCCTCTGGGCCGCACTGGTAGCCCCGGCCCTCTGCCAGCTCGGATCAGGTTTGCAGGAAGTGAGAGGACGTTGTTCAGGACTGCTATGTGCCCAGGGCCGGCCCCTCTGCCCCTTCCTGGGGGAGAAACAACAGAGGCTCGCCTCCCACCCCTGTCCCCTCCAAGGCTGCTGTGGGCCCCAGCCCTGGGGTTGGCCGCCTGCACCCACCTCCACCCACCTCCGCTCACTGAGCACCCATTGTGCCTCTGTCCAGCCCTTGCCAAAAACACGCAGCCTCTGACAGCCCCAGCACTTTGCCCACAGGGACTGGGACAGTGCGGTGGCCTTGGAGAAGTGCTGGCCCCGGATCCTGCATGACTTGGCCTTGGTGGGGGTCTCTTCCCCTCCCTAAATGCCTCGTGCCCCCCTCCCCTAAAGAGCAGCTGGCTTCAGTGAGCCCCTGGCTTCCCTGGTGACACCTGACCGCCTCCATGTGCTGACCCTGTGCTTCGAGGTTCACACCTGTCCTGGGAACTCGCTCCTCATAGCTCTGGCACACAGGCGAGGCAGGTGAGGCACAGGGAAGCTAGGTAACTTACCTCAGGGCACACAGCTTTATATGTGTAAGGTTCCTTTATTTGAAAGGCAGAGTTACAGAGAGAGAGGGAGAGACAGAGATCTTCCATCTGCTGGTTCACTCCGCAAATGGCCCCAGTGGGTCTCCCAAGCAGGTGGCAGGAGTGACAGAGATGGAGAAACACAGAAGAAGAGAGAGAGCTTTTCCATCTACTGGTTCATTTGCCAAATGGCAGCAACAGCCAGGGCTGGGCCAGGCTGAAGCCAGGAGCCAGGAACTCCATCCAGGTCTCTCACGTGGGTGGCAGGGGCCCAAGCACTTGATCCATCATCTGTGCCTCCCAGGCTCATTAGCAGGGAACCAGATCAGAAGCGGAGGAGCTGTGATGGGGGATGTGCGTGACCCAAGCCCAGCTTAACCCTACTGCACTACAACACCCGCCCCAACACCACACATCTCACAGTGATGCAGGTGCATCCTGAACCACGTGCCACCTGTACCCTTGTGCCCCGGGGCGGGAGCCTCTTTCAGGAGCGTCCTTCCTACCCCCCAGCCTCTCAAGCTCCAGATCTCAGCCACCCTTTTTTTTTTTTTTTTAACATTGATTTATGTATTTGAAAGGCAGAGGTACAGAGAGAGAGAGAAAGAGAGAGAGAGAGAGATCCTCCATCTGCTGTTTCACTCCCCCAAATGGCCATAATAGCTGGAGTTAGGTCTTTCTGAAGTCGGGCCCCCTCCTGGTCTCCATGTGGTGTAGGGGCCCAAGCACTGGGGCCGTCTCCCATTGCTGTCCCAGGCGCATTAGCAGGGAGCTGGATTGGAAGTGGAGCAGCTGGGACTCAGACTGGCATCCATGTGGGATGCTGGCACCGCAGGCTTTGCTGGCTACGTCACAGCGCCGGCCCCTCAGCCATCCTTGACGCTGCCCCTTGCATGGCCTCTGCCGGCTGCCTGGCCCCAGCCCTGGGTCGCCCCCTTGTCCCTGGCCTACCCTGTGCACCCTCCATGTAGTAGCCAGAGGCACCTCATTATGCTGCTTCCTCCTCAGACCCCCTTGTGGGTTAACTGCAGCATAGAACATGCAGTGGCTCCCTAATGCCCATGCACTAAGTGCAGACTCCCCATGCTGACCGGCTGCTGCTCTCCTGCTCTTGCTGGGCTGATGGCCTGCACAGCCTCTCTGCTGTATCCCCCAGTTTCCAGTCAGGTACACTGAGGCCAGTCCTCATCCCCCTTCCAGAGTTAGCCCTGGGAGAGCAGAGACAGGGTCTCCACGACTAAGTGTGGCTGACTCCTCCCTACAGTCCCTACGCCCACACTGGGGCTGGGCCCAGGGCCATGGGCAGGGCAGCACCTTGACCTCCAGAGGTGTCAGAGCTCTGCCACTGCACCCCGACCCTGATTACCCCCGGGAGGGCGCCTCCCAGCTCTCCGTGGCCAGCGGAAATAAGGTGGGCCTCCAGCAGGGTGAGAGAGGTGGAAAAAGGCAAGTGGCCACCGTCTCAGGTTGTCCCCAAGATCGCGTGACCACTGGGTGTGCAGTCACAGCCTCAATTAGGTCACTGGGCTCCAGCCGGCAGGCTGCGGGCTTCAGGGTAATGCAAGCCTGGGGAGCAACATGGGGAGGGGTCTGCTCTCAGGGGGCCCAGGGCTCTGCGGCTAGAGCAGGCGGCGGCCCAGTGTGCATTTCCTTCTCCTTTGGGACCACAGCCGAAATCCCTCATCCTCCTGGGGGGGCATGAGCCCTTGGCCACCGCCCCGCCCCCCAGACCTGTGCTCCCAGGGTGATTTCCTTCCCAGACTTCCGTGATGTGGGAGTGGTTGGGGGCCCTGCTGGGACGACGTGGAAACCCCATGGTGTTTGGCTGACCCCTGCCCTGGGGTCCACGAGGCCCCTGGAGAGTCCTGGAGAGCCAGGTTTACCCCAGTCCTATCTCCTGGTCCCAGGACCCTCCCACCAGAATTTTCTTTTTCTTTTTTTTTTTTTTAAGGCAGAGTGATAGGGAGAGAGGTCTTCATCTGTTGGTTGATTCCCCAAACGCCTGCAACAGCCGGAGCTGGTCCGGTCCTTAGCCAGGAGCCAGGAACTCCCTCCGGGGCTCCCACGTGGGTGGCGGGGGCCCAAGCTGCCTCCCACGATGCACTGGCAGGAAGCTGGATCGGAAGCAGAGCAGCTGGGACGTGATCCCAAGCACTCCGGTGTGGGCCGTGAGCCTCCCGGCTGCGCCACTTGCCGCCCCGCCTGTCAGGGCTTCTACTTCTCAGGGCAGCGCAGCGTCCAGGTCTCTAGGGCCACGTCCCCTTGCCAACACTCCCAGGCTCGTTAAGGTGGCCCGACGAGAAGAGCACTGTGCGCCTTGCTCCCGGCCTCACTGGCAGAGACTGCCCAGGGCAGGACAGCATTGCCCGTGACCTCTGCACCTGGCCCATCCTCTTCCCATCCATTCCGGTGAATTGCCCGGAACTCTGCCTGCATCTCCCTCACCATTCCGTTCCCAGACCTCATCCCCGGCCTCCTGCATTTCCCAACAAGGGTCCCGCATCTCCAGAGGCCAGGCGGAGACCCCAGGCTGAGGGCCTTTCTCTTCGTGAGATGCTGGCAGAGCTGGGTGCAGAGCCAGGGCTTACCCTGTTCCCTGTTACTTCGGGCTAATATCTTGGGCTTCCCACAGATCCACGGCTTCCGCATCTGTAGGTTCAAAGCAGCCATGGGTTGAAGATATTTGAAAACTATCATTTAAAAATTTTTTTTAAAGATTTATTTATTTACTTGAAAGACATAGTTACAGACAGAGAGAGAGAGGTCTTCTCTCTACTGGTTCACTCCTCCAGTGGCTGCAACAGCTGGAGCTGAGCCGATCCAAAGCCAGGAGCCAGGAGCTTCTTCTGGGTCTCCCACGTGGGTGCAGGGGCCCAGGCACTGGGGCATCTTCTGCTTTCCCAGGCCGTCAGCAGGGAGCTGGATTGGAAGTAGAGCAGCTGGGACCCGAACCAGTGCCCAAATGGGATCCCGGCACTGCAGGCGCATGCTTGACCTACTGTGCCACAGCACTGGCCCCTTGAAAGCTCTCAGAGCTAACAGGGCTGGTGCTGTGGTGTAGTAGGTAAAGCTTCCACCTGCAGTGCCGGCATCCCATATGGGCACCAGTTCGAGTCCCAGCTGTTCCACTTCCAATCCAGCTCCCTGCTGTGGCCTGAGAAAGCAGTAGAAGATGCCCCAAGTCCTTAGGTCTCTGCACCCACGTGGGAGACCTGGAGGAAGCTCCAGGCTCCTGGGTTTGGATCAGCTCAGCTCTGGCCATTGCGGCCACCTGGGGAGTGAACCATCCATGGAAGACCTCTTTCTTTCTCTGCCTCTGCCTCTGTAACTCCACCTTTCAAATAAATAAATAAATCTTTAAAAAAAAAAAAAAAACAGCTAACAGCGTTGGCATCAGCTGGGCAGAGGAGGAACTGAAGGCCCAGAGAGTTCAAGGTTCAAGTAACTCACCCAGAGACGCACAGCACAGCCCACGGTGGTGCCTCCCCACATAACAGGGTCTGCAAAGGCGGGGTTACGTGGGCAGGGCAGAGAACTGTAGGATCTGTGGACGGCTACAGGCGTGTGCTCAGGGGCTGAGCGGAGAGGGAGAGCCTTACCCAAGCCCCTTGGGCACCAAGCTGCTTGGTCTGGGAGACCCGAGGCAGGGGTCCGAGCACAGCGGGGCGCGCCCAGCCTGGCTGCCCTCACTCACCTTCCTCGGGGGGGGGAGCCTGTGGCACCCGTGGGAGGATTCGTGTGCAGCGGCCCCTCCCTGTTTGGGCTGCCAGGCAGCTGGTTTGGGAGCTTGAAGCTGGGGGAGGCTGGTGCAGTGAGTGGCCACCCTGTGTGGTCACCACTGCCCGCCCTCCTTCTGAGTCCACGTGACAGTCCCTGGCAGGGCAGTACACTCCCACTGCGAGCACTCGGGACAAAGCGTGTCTGTCTTGGAGGCCTGGGGAGCGGCCATGGCTCTGCCTTCCCTCTGCTGAGCACACAGTGGGTGGCCCTCCAGCTCTGCCCTGCCTCTCACCTTTTTTAAAATATAGTTTTTAAAAACTTTTTTTATTTGAAGAGAGAGAGCGAAAGAGATCTTCTGTCCACTGGTTCGCTCCCCAAAATGTCTGCAACAGCAAGGGCTGGGCCAGGCCAAAGCCGGGAGCCCAGAACGCAGTCTGGGTGAGCGGGAAGAACTTGAGCCATCATCTGCCACCTCCCAGGGTGTGCGTTAGCAGGAAGCTGGAGCAGAAGCAGAGGGGCTGACACTCAAACCAGGCTCTCCCAAGCAGTGAGCTAACTGCTGTGCCAAGCCCCGCCCCTCCCAGCTTTTTTTTTATGAACTTCCACACCTGCACAGTCAGCTCTTGGGACCCTCGGGGGCTGGGTTCTGAGACCCCAACCCATGCATGCTCAGGTCCCTTAGTAAAATGGCTTAGCATTTGCATGTCACCGGCATAACCCTCCCATACGCTTTAAATCACTTCTAGATTATTGAATACTTAGTACAAGGTAAATGCTGTGCTAATAGTTGTTATACTGTGTTGTCTAGGAAATAACGACAAGAACAAAGGATGCAGTTTTCCCCCCAAATATCTTCAGTGATTGGTTGAATCCGCAGGTGCCGACTCTGTGAACACAGTGGGGCTGGCTGTATGTGGGGGGCTGGCTATACCGGGGCTGACGGGGAGGGGTGTTGCAGCCGCCACTGGTTCCTGTGGCCTGCCAGAGTGTTGGGCTCTTACCAGGAAAGGGAGTTAGCCGGACGTGCGCCCGGGAGCACGGGCTCCGCCCAGAGCAGATGGAGCTGGAGTGGGGGGCTGCTCTGCAGCCACCCCCAGCCCCGCAGCGCCCCCTGTGGCTGCCGCCGTGGTACACGCGCAGCGAGATGCGCTCAGCCCCTTCAGGGAGTTCCAGTGCTGCCTCCCTGCTGCCCGGCCACATCTCCCCCAGACCGCCTTGAGCGGCCAGCCCTCCCTCCTTCTGGGACATTTCTGCAACCCTGGACGGGTGGCCGTGGCCCCTCCCCGGCGCTGTCCCTCTGCTGCTCTCCAGCTAGTCCGTGTCTTTGTCATCTGCCTGCCCCCTGGGACTGGTCTTTGTCCTTGCCTTCTGCTGGGGAGAGGCCCCAGGTAGCTGTGAGCCAGGTGGCGGAGGAGGGGATGAGTGGATCAAGTATTTGGAGCAGAACAGAGGGCTAGGGGCTCACGGGGCAGGAATGGCTGTGAGCCGTCTCCTGGGAAACCGAAGGCCTGGACTGCAGGTTTTGTCCCTGTCCTTGCTCTGAGCCTGCTTCCCCTATGCACACAGGCCTTCCCCAGCCTGCAGCAAAGGGGAGAGGGAGGAGCGGGGGGTTGCCGCGAGGGAAGGCCTGCACAGATGACGGGGAGCCAGGCACCCCCGAGAAGTGGGCAGGCAGGGAGGGTGACCGTGGGGAGTCCCTGGGACTCATCTAGAGAGAGACCATTGGAGACGGGCACGGGTGCCCCCGGGGGGGCTCCTACAGAGACCACCTGTTGCTGGGTGCAGCCTACACTGCTCTTCTCTGTCTTGAAACTGCTGGGCGTGCCCTTGGCTTTCGGCACAGCGGTTAAGGCATAGCTTGGGACACCGCATTCCCTATTGGAGGGCCTGGGTTTGACTCTTGGTCCCGCTCCCCCTTCCAGCTTCCAGCTAAGGCACCTGGGAGGCAGCAGGCGATGACCCGAGTACTTGGGTCCCTGCCACCCACATGGGAGACCTGGATTGAGCTTCAGGTGCCTGGCTCAGTCCTGACTGTTCCAGGCATTTGAGGAAATGGACGGAATATCTTTGTCTCTTTCTCTGTGTCTTTCACACACACGCACACACACACACACACACACTTTAAGAATGTGCCTGGGAGTCACGGAGGAGCTTGCACAGATGCAGGTTCTGAGTCAGCAGGGCCGGCCCAAGTCTCTGCATTTCCAGCACCGTTGGGCGATCGGCTGCTCTGGTCTGGGAGGCGCGCCGGGAGTGGCCAGCACCAGCTGTTTGAATAGGCAGCCCCTGGTTTTCCTACAAGGCCCTTCCGTGGAAAGAGCAGGGTCCTGGTGGTCTCTGGGGTGTTGGTGCCCCTTCTCCCCATCCCCCACCCCACCGCGGACTACTAGGCGGCTTCTGGGGCACCGCCCCATCCTGAGAGCCCGGGGTGAGGGAGGCTGGACCCCAGGCAGACAAAGGCAGGCTGGCCTCTTTCTTCCTTAGTGCAGGACGGCTCCGGGGAGCTGAAAACCAAGAAAACCCAGGGGCCCTACGCAGCCGCAGCCAAGAGAATGAGCGATTCATGGGCTGGGGAGGCCCCAAGCTGGCGACACTGGAAACCGGCCCTTGTCCCTTTCGGTGGGGTGGGGGCCGGGGATCCCGGTGGTGCCCCTCACTCTGCCATTTAGTGATGGCCCCAACCAGGGACCTTTGCCAGGGGGCCCTAGGGCTGGCCAGAGAAGCCCTCAGTAAGTGCTGGGTGGAGATCCAGCGCGAGGGGCCAGGGCGGGTCCCCCAGAGTGAGCTGGGGATGGGCAGTTGTTCCGAGCGGGAGCCCTGGACGCCGTGTGCTTCCTCTTGTGCCTGCAGACAAGTCTGACTTTGTCCAAAGAGCCTCCTCCCTGCCCGCTGCCTGGCGCCAGCCCCGCATGCGGGGTCACCTCCTCTGGGCCCCTGCCCAACTCTGCGAGGCACACAGGGCCCAGGCCGCCCCGCCCAGTACACAGGTGGGGTCGCGTCTGTGCTGGGTCTGAGCCCGCTCTGTGTCTGCAGGGCCACCCCGGGGGCCAGGGGGCCGGAGCCTCTCCCTGGCAGCGCCTGGGAGGACAGAAGGGACTTTACATTGTAGGCTCCGAGCGAATGGAAAGGGAGCAGAAAGCGCTCCAGTCCAGGAGGAAGCCCCGGGAAAGACACGGGCAGGGCCTTGGGATTATGGGAGGGTTTTCTTTACTAGGTTGGGTAGCTTTTCATTTAAAAAAAAAAAAAATCTGGTTTAAATTTTCGTTAGAAGAAAAGAAAAGGAGCTAAGATGTTGGCAGGGGCTCAGGGAAGCTGCGACAGGCGTTTGGAAGACGTGAAGGCGGGGAGAGAAGGAAGTAGTGTTTTGGTGATTTGAAATGTGGAGAAGGGGACTTAGGCCCAGCTTAGGGGGAGAAAGGAAGCCACAGCGAGTGGAGTGTCAGGGCCGGGGCCACCTCTGGGGTCTGTGCCCTGGTACCCGCCCCAGGCCCTAGGTCAGGATAGCCAGGGCTGTGACCACATCTGCCTCAGGGGAGGAGGCGAGGATGTTTCCAGAATGATGGAAACACGTCTGCCTGCCCAGGCCTCCCCTAGAGGTCAGGTCTGCTGTGACGTCACCTGTGTGCAGAGGGCTGGGAGGGACCCTCGGCACGGTAAAGACGGTTGCGCCAGAGGCCAGCTTTGTGGCACAAGCAGGTAAAAATCATGTGGGCACCATTTGTGTCCCGGCTGCTCTACTCCTGATGCAGCTCCCTGCTAATGGCCTGGAAAACAGCGGAAGATGGCTCAAGTGCTTGGGCCCCTGCACCCACATGGAGACCTGGAAGAAGCTCCTGGCTCCTGGCTTTGGCCTGGCCCAGCCGTGGCCATTGCATCCATCTGGGGAGTGAACCAGCAGATGGGAGATCTCTCTCTTCCTCTCTCCCCTCCTCTTCTCTGAAACTCTGACTTTCAAATACACAAATAAATCTTAAAAAAAAAAAAAAAAAGACATTTGCCCCCAGCCCCTTCCATAGGCCTCTGCTGGGTCCTTGTCCGGCCGTGGAAACAGCCAGGGGTGAGACGCGGGCTCTGATGTTGTCCTAAAGCCTCGGGAAGGCTTTATCTCGTTTCCTTTGCTGTGTCTCCTGAACACCTCCCTGCGCGGTTCCTGTGCTCGCCGCCGGGGCAGCCTTGGCCGTCTGGGGCTCATCGGGATTTCTCTCTTCCCTGAAGCCTGCTGCGCAGCGCGGCCCTGGGCCACAGCTGGGGGTTGGGGAATCAGGCTGGGACCACCTGCTCCACCCCAGGGGGGCCTCCAGGGGCCCCCACCCGTCCTCGGAGGAGTGTGGAAGCCTTGAGTGAGGTCCGAGCTTGCCGGCAGGCTGGCAGTGCGGGCCCTCCCTGGGCAGCGTGAGTGCTGTGCCTCTGTCCGGGCACCGTGCTCCGAGGCCGAACTTGGAGTCCGTGGGTGCCGACGACCCGGAATGATGACTCCTGTCCTTTCTGCTGAGGGCTCCAGGTGTGAACCCCAAGAAACATCCATAGTGATGCGTTTATCGGGACGTTGAGGGTGCTCTGCTCCTCCCCTCCCCGTCCCCATCCCGTATCGCAGCACTAGTCGGAGTCCCAGCTGCTTTGTTCCTCCTCCCCCTCCCCCCTCCTCTCCTTCCCCTCCCCCTCCCCCTCCTCTCCTCCCCTTTCTCATCCTTTTTTTTTTAATTTAAAGATTTATTTGTTTATTTGAAAGGCAGAGTTACAGAGAGGCAGAGGCAGAGACAGAGAAAGGTCTTCCATCTGCTGGTTCACTCCCCAAATGGCAGCGACAGCCAAAACTGGGCCAGGCTAAAGCCAGGAGCTTCCTCTGGGTCTCCCACATGGGTACAGGGGCCCAAGCGCTTGGGCCATCTTCCCCTGCTTTCCCAGGCACATTAGCAGGGAGCTGGATCAGAGGTGGGGCAGCTGGGACCTGAACCGGAGCCCACATGGGATGCCGGAGCGGCAGGCCACGGCTCTAACCCACTGAGCCACAGCACCAGCCCCCTGCTTCACTTCTTATCTGGCCTCTTACTAATGTACCTGGGAGGGCAGCAACAGATGACCCAAGCGCCTGAGCCCCTGCCACCATGTGGGAGACCCAGATGGAGTCCTGGGCTCCTACCTTTGGCTTAGCCCAGCCCTTTGGGGGAATGAACCAGGGAATGGCAGCTCTCTGTTTCTCCCTCTCTTTTGGTCACTTTGCCTGTCAAATAAACATATATTTGAAGGGAAAAAAAAAAAAAAAAGAGGGCTGGCACTGTGGTGCAGTGGGTTAAGCCTCCCCGGCACCTGTGGCACCAGCATCCAGTGAATGCTGGTTGGAGTCCTGGCTGCCCCACCTCCGATCCAGCTCCTTGCTAACGGCCTGGGAAGAGCAGTGGAAGATGGCCCAAGTGTTTGGACCCCTGCACCCATGTGTGAGACTCAGGTGGAGTTCCAGGCTCCTGGCTTCAGCCCGGCCCAGCCCCAGCCATTGCAGCCGTTTGGGAAGTGAACCAGCGAATGGAGTCTACCTCTTTCTTTCTCTGTCTCTCTCTCTGAAAATCTGAGGTTAGTTCAGATCCACAGGAATGGACTTCACACCCTTCTGTGTGCCCCTCCCACTGTGCAGGAGATAGCGCGCGGCGCCCAGCTGTTGGTGAACTGTCAGCAAACACCAAAGGCGGGCGGCTGTAATTAATTCCTCGCAGGACGGCGGTCAAGATCACAAGGGTGCATGTATGAGGCGATGCCCCGGGAGCCACACAGCCGGCCAGCTGGAGTCACCACCCCTGTGTGAGCCCTATTGTGTAGCTGGCCAGCGGGTGCCGTGAGAGGAGCGGGGGAGATGGCACGGTGGCAGACGGGGACGGCTGAGGTCGAACCCTGCCGGGCTCCCACCTGCACAACCGAAGGAAGGCAGTGACCGCAGACAAAGCCTCGCCAGGGGTCGCTTTGGGGAGAGCAGGATGCGCTTCTGGGTGATGGATCCAGCTCGCTCCCCGGGGAGGGAGGGGCGTCTGCCAGGACCTCAGTGAGTGGCACTTGGCCCATGCTTCCTGCAGGAACGTGAGAAGTGACCTCTAGGAGGCACCTGGGAGGGCAGGGGGCAGCTGGCCCCATTCCCTTCTGTCCTGCCCTCCAGCTCGGAGACGCCCCTCCACCCTTGCACACTCAGCCCGCGCGCCGGCTTTATTCCCGGGCCCACCCCGGGGATCGCAGCGTCTTCTGTCTTTTCCATTTGCTCCTTGGGCTCGGCTGCTTCCCACCCACTGAGAGAAACTGGAATTCCTGTAGCTTGTTGCCCGGAGCCTGCTGAGGTCCTTCCTGACATACATACATACATACATTTATTTGTTATTTATTTATTTATGGCCTTTTGAAGGCCTAAAAGAGAGGTTTTCCAAATCCTCCGGAGCACTGTGGACAGGAGCAAGAGGACACCAGTGCCTGCATCCGAGGGCGGCTCTCGCCCGGCCTGACCCCAGATCTGACGCCCCTTTGTGTCCGGGAGCCCCCGTCCGCTCCTCCCCTCCTGTCCACCCGGCCTAGGGCGAGAACAGATCCCTGCCTTGTTCCCTGACCTTTGCTTATCGCCCCTCCTCCTGGGCCGCCTCTCTCCTGTTCCTGAGCGTTCACCTGAGCCTCCTGACTGCTCCCTCGTCCTTCCCTTCTCTGCTAACCGGCAGGAGCCAGGCCTTCAGTGCGCGCCCTGCCTGGCTTCAGCCCTCCCCGCTGCAGAGCATGCTGGGATGCCCACCCACCGTGCGCCGTTTTCCCAGGATCTCAGTGTTGCCGGGACCCCAGGGTCGTTTAACTGGGCCACCTGCATCTTCTAACGCAGAATCACCCAGGTGTCTCCTGGGACGCTCCGTGGCCAGGATGCGCCTTCTCTGGTGACAAATCCCCACCCCAGAGCCCCGTGTGGCTGTGTCTGTGTGCTCTGTTCCCCTCTTGTCCGTTGTGGACACATGAGCATGGTTCTGGAAAGTTCCGCGCCGCTGAATCCGGTGTACCTCGTGTAACAGAGACTCGCGGCCTGTGCGTCAGAGCTCTCTCTACTTTTTGGGTCTCGTTCACGTTGGCCACTTTGCAATAAGCTTCCGCCCGTCTGTCATTCCCAGGCGTAGAGGGCAGCTCTTGGCCAGACTCTGGGCGCCCCCAGAGTGGAGCAGAGTGTGGGGTGGGTGTTGGGGGGGACTGCGGTGCCCTTTGCTTGGGGTTTGCAACTATTCATCCTTGCCAGTGTGATTTCATTTCTTTCTTTCTTCTTCATCTTTTCTTTTTTTTTTTTTTAAGGTTTTATTTATTTATTTGAGAGGCAGAGCTACAGAGAGAGGAGAGACAGAAAGAAAGGTCTTCCATCCACTGATTTACTCCTCAAATGGCCACAATGGCCCGAGCTGGGCTGATCTGAAGCCAGGAGAAAGGAGCTTCCTCCAGGTCTCCTACGCGGGTACAGGAGTTCAAGGACTTGGGCCATCTTCTACTGCATTCCCAGGCCACAGCAGAGAGCTGGATCGGAAGTGGAGCAGCCGGGACTTGAACTGGCACTCATATGGGATGCCGGCACTGTAGGTGGCGGCTTTTACTTGCTACGCCACAGCGCTGGCCCCTCACCTGCTGTCGAGCCCCAAACCCTACATAAAACTCCGTACTCACAGAGCAATGACCACTGTCCCCTCCCCCGTCCCCTGAACGTGAGCACTCTGGGGTCCTCACACAGGTGGGATCACGCGGTGTGTGAATTCTCGCAGCCTTGCGTTCGCTGCAGGGCTCATCCGAGCTGTGACGTGGGTCAGACTTCCTTCCTCTCTCTGGCTGGTCGTGGTCTCTGTGGGCTCACCGTGCCGTGTGCCCCGTGGTGTTGGCTCCGTTCTGTGGCGGTCGTGAGCAGCGCAGCTCTGACCACTGGTGGAAAAGGCTGAATGGAGACCGTCCTTCCAGGCCTTCAGGGTCGACGTCCAGTGGAACTGTGGGATGCCCTGGCCAAGCTGTGCTCGGGGCCTGGCCGTCTTCCTCGCTGCATTCCATCCCTAGCATGCTGCCTGAATTGTGCCTCAACTCTGAGTGGCCAGCAGGTCTGCGGGGTGGTCCTGCTCCTGGGCGGCTAACTGACAGCTAATCCACCTGAACGTACCTGCACCTGTTATTCGGCCTCCCGTTGGGCCTTGCAAAAGTCAGCGGGCAGTTGGGGGCAGCGGATTAAGCCGCCACGTGTGATGCAGGCATCCCGCACTGGAGCGCTGATTGAGTCCCGGCTGCTCTGCTTCTGGTCCAGCTCCCTGCTGATGCACCTGGGAAGGCAGTGGAAGGTGGCCTGGGTCCTCGGGCCCCTGCCACCCATGCGGGAGACTAGGAGGGAATTCCTGGCTCCTGGCTTCGGCCTGGTCCACACCAGGCATTTGGGGAGTACACCAGTGAATGGAAGAGTTCTGCCCTTGTCTCTGTCTCTCTCCAATCTCTCTCTCTTTCTCTCCCATTTTGTTTGTTGCTCTGCCTTTTAAATAAACGAATAAATCTTCAAAAATAAAAAAGTAAGTGGCTGTGGACCCGGCAGTTCCACTCTGGGGTAAGTGCCAAGAGACCAGAAAACACGTGTCCATGGACACTTGTACGTTCAAAGACGAGAAATGGGAGCAACTCAGACGTGCATTGCGTGATGAATGAAAAAGCAAAATGTGGTGTATTTGTTCAACAGGATGACCTTGACAACAGGAGGTAGTAAATACCCACGGTCCCACGCTACAAATGAGTCAACGTTGACGCCATGACGCTGAGTGAAAAGGCCTTCTGTTTTGTGAGTCCAGTGTAGGGAGCGACCCAAAGAGGCAAATCTATCCCCACAGAAAGGCTGCCCACTGCCACGCGCCGGAGTGGGCACAGGTTCCTTTTGGAGAGGTGAAGTGTGCTGTAACTAGACAGTGGTGATGGCTGCACAACTTTGTGAATATACCAGAAGCTTGGGAACTGTACAGTTGTTTAAAAAGCCCTGGCCTGCGGCACCAGCATCCCATATGGGTGCTGGTTCGAGGTCCCAGCTGCTCCACTCCCTTTCTAGCTCCCTGCTAATTCTCCTGGGAAAGCAGTAGAAGATGGCCCAAGTGCTTGGGCCCCTGCACCCACATGGGAGACCCAAAAGAAGCTAATAAATTTTTTTTATTAAAAAAGATTTATGAGCCGGCGCCGCGGCTCACTAGGCTAATCCTCCGCCTAGCGGCGCCGGCACACCGGGTTCTAGTCCCGGTCGGGGCGCCGGATTCTGTCCCGGTTGCCCCTCTTCCAGGCCAGCTCCCTGCTATGGCCAGGGAGTGCAGTGGAGGATGGCCCAGGTGCTTGGGCCCTGCACCCCATGGGAGACCAGGAAAAGCACCTGGCTCCTGGCTCCTGCCATCGGATCAGCGCGGTGCGCCGGCCGCAGCGCGCTGGCCGCGGTGGCCATTGGAGGGTGAACCAACGGCAAAGGAAGACCTTTCTCTCTGTCTCTCTCTCTCACTGTCCACTCTGCCTGTCAAAAAAAAAAAAAAAAAAGATTTATGAATTAGTTTGAAAGGCAGAGAGAGAGAGAGAGAGAGAGAGAGAGAGAAACCTTCCATCCACTGGTACTCCCCAAATGATTGCAACAATCAGGCCTGGAACCCCATCCAGGTCT